TTTGAAATAAAATAAAAAGTCACAAAAAAGTCAGTTAAGTTGGAAGACAACAACACTCTTTGGTGTGAATTTGTCATTATCAGTCAATTCGTTTTGCTTGGTGGTGTAAGTGGATGGGTTGCAACAACTCCCATTTTCACCTTTCTTGCACATAGCTATATCACAACCATTATTACCAAAACCAAACCCAAAAAGATAATTATGGTTTTGAGAATTCAGCCAAAATTCATAATTGTCATTTCCACTTTTACCAAACTTTTTTGGATTCAAAGTACCGCCTCTTACAAGTGAAAAGATGTAAGAACTGCCATTGTGAATCCATTCACCAACAGCATTTATATTTCCAGTGCACACGCCACCAAATTTGTTGTGATATGTGTCTTCTACTAAAAAGCACAAATTGCTTTTGTTCATAACTTTTCCATCAAACACAGAAGTGCCCTTTGACCAGTTGTCAATGTCTGAGTCAAACACAACATTTCCAATCTTCATACCCGTCAACTTCTCAATATTGGCTTCTTCTTCAAGTGTGATGTGTTCGCGCTTTATTCTTTCTTCTTTTTCATCATCGTGTTGTTTCTTCGCATTGATGAATTTTTCTGATTTCATAATTTGATCAATTTTAGTATTTTTTGTTTGTTTGATTCTGTTAATTTCATCTTCATGTAGTTTTATATCCATTTGGCACTTCTCCTCAAGAAGTGCAATTCTGAGATTGAATATCTCATACAACTTGTCGTTGTCGCTCTGTGTTGAATACAGAGCCATTTCACTTTTGATTTTGTTGGATGTGTTGTCCAAATCAGTGACAATTGTGTTAAGTGAAGTTGTAATGTTATTTTTTCTATCAAATATTTCATCAAGTCTGTCGAAGTGTCCCTCTGCATTTTCGATGCGTTGATCAATGTTAAGTGACTTGTTGTCAACAAAGTTGTCTTCTTTTTTTATTTTTTTGAGGTCTGACACCGCCTTTGCTGTGTTAGTACAGAGTGCTGAGAGTGCTGTTAACTCGTTTTCCATGTATGTTAATAGAGTTTATTTGTTTTTATATTTAATTTTTATAAATCTCATTTAAAATTATTATTACCTCATACATAATGATTTTTTTTACTAATCAAAAACCAAAATTATAATTATTCAAACCAACATAAAATGATTTTAATTTATATTAAAAGTTAAACAAAATATGTAATTAAGTCCAAAACCACAGAATTTCAAATGTAATTTTTTAACTATTAAAGTAAAAAATGGGAAAAATACATAGATATTGTTATAATTGCTAAATAATTATTTTAACTATCAATATGATTAAAAGCAAACCCAATATTTGTTTTTGATAATTTTTATTTTTTTTAACCAAATATTGTTTATTTATATGTTGCCATTAAACAAATAAGGCGATCACAGTGAATTTGATAAATCCTATAATCCTTTTATATCCCCTTATATTTCCCCTAATATATAATAGCAAAACTGGTATATTTATTTACAATTACTATTTTTATTGGTTTTATACTATTAAGTGTCTACTATATTAATGGTTAATTTTACTAAATATAATGGTAAATTGTGATACTGTTTAAAAACGATAGTTAATATTTTAACCAACTATCGTTTTATTGTGGTTTATTTCCATAAAAAAAATAAGTATTAATTTTAATTAAATTAACTAAATAAAATTTAAAAAAGAGCAAACAAACAGACACACAAATGTTATTCAAAATAAAATCACAAGAAAATAACAAAAAAGTAAAATAACACATAAACAAAAAAGACGAAAAAGCTATAAATCGAGAAAGACGAGTTATTTTAAAAACGAGAAAAATGAAAAAAACGAAAAAACAAAAAAAACATTTTTTAAAAAAATCAATATAATCAACTTTTTTCAATTGTACAGTTGGTCTATTAAATTTTCGTCCAGCAAATTAACTTTAGCCCAAAGAAAACCAATTATTTTTATTGTTATATTAAACTAATAAACTATACAATAATAAAAGTCATTTTTCTAAAATATTTGTTTTAATAGTATAAACCCATGTTTTTCAAAAAAAAATACAATTTTTTGGGGTTTAGGTTCATTTTCTAAACTGTAGTTTTATTTATTTGAAAAAATTAAATTTACTTAACTGGATCAAGTGTTAATATTAAGTATATTGTTTTTGTACTTTTTTAGGGTGAAGAGGAAAAATAACAGCTTATTTAAAAGAAAAAAGTACAAAAAGAATATAGTAAATGAATTATATATAAAAATAATTATAATAGTACAAAATAACTATAAATTTTGATAAGTTTTTCGTATAAAAACAAATAGCACAAATATTTATACAATTTATTATAATTTAATGGTTTGATAAATCCCACCATTTTTTTTAAATCATTATAACTTTAAAAATTGATAAATTTTTCCATAATAAAAATACAATTTTAATTAAAAATATAGTTAATTAATTATTTGGAAAAAACACCAAAAACAAAAACACAGTCCGGCATTTTCCAGGTTTTTATTTTTTCGGTGTTAATAATTTCCAAAACTGCATTAAAAAATAACACATTCCTTCACATCGCGAAAAGTCGAAAACTAGACAGACAAGCTTGAAAAGCTATGATTTTTTAATTTTTTTAAATTTATTAAAAATTTTAATAAATTTTTTTTATTTATGAAAAAAATAGCTCAATTATAAAATATTAATTTGAACTAATGTGCACAAAAAAATACAAAAACATTTAAAATAGTTTTATATAGTAAAAAAATAATTAAAAAATTAATAAAATAGAATTTGAATATTATTAGAATTTTATAATAATAAATAAAGTGAGGCGAGAAACCCACACCTGGAGAAAAACCCGCACCCATTTTCCTTTTTCTTCTTTTACCCAAATTATTGTGTTTTTTACTTCCAGAACACAGAAAAAATAAAAAAGTCGGGTTATTATAGTTTCTTTTTCTTTCTTTTTCTTCCTTTTTGGTGTTTTTATTTAAAAATAAAAAATGATTCGAGTTTGATTCAAAATAAACTATCAAAGAACAAAAACGGCCCGGATTTTTACGTACTTTCGGTGTATTATAACAGTGTTTCAAATTTGTGTTTATTCAAAAAAACAAATATACTATTATATAAACTATATATATAGTTTAATGATTTAAACTATATTTATTAACTTGTAATAGTTTATCAAAACCCAATTTCTAAAAATAGTTTAAATTTTCACAAGACAAATTCTATAATATAGTAATGTATAGTAAAAATATTCAGAGATTTGCTTTTTTCCAGAAAAATGTTTATTTTTTGATCAAAATATTTTCTTTTTTATCTATAATACTCAAGACTCAAAATCAATTACGTTATCGTGAAGATGTTATATTATAGCTATGTTGTGTGTTTAATATCACCATTTTAAAATAAGTTCAAAAACAATTAAAAAAGTCAAGATATGTCTTTTTTGACACATATCTTTTTTATTAAGTTGTAAATGAAAACATAAATTTAGATATTCAAACGAATGTACATCAATAGTACTATAATGTATCACTGAGTTATATCATACTGTAACATTATACAAAAAAGTTACAAAATGTGTTTTTATCGTATCAAATATTATCAATTATAATATAAAATTATTATATTTTTAATATTTGTTTTTTTACAAATTTAAAAATTATTTAACTTAAATTAAATAGTTTTAATAAAAATATTCATAAAAACATAATTAACAAACTATACATATTATTATAATTATATTAATATCAACTATTGAAATGACTTAAGTTGTTGAAAAATTAAATGGGTTTTATATCCACCATTATTTTTTTTCAAAAAACTTTTATGAAAACTTAAAATTAAGATAAACAAGTTCAAATATTCAAACTCAACACAAACAACAGAGATGTGTTTGTGTTGAGTTTTTGCAAATCCCCATTACCGTTTGGCAATTTTATTTATTTATTTATACACATAACGCATATAAATTAACAATTAGATAATGCAAATTCGCGCGACTAATGTTTGTTTGTTTTTTATGATATTTATTATGTTTAAGTGGCTGATAAATACATTTAATTAACTATTAGAAATGGGTTTAAAGTGGATATAAATTATTGATTACTTATTAGTATTTTTATGGTTAATAAACTTAATAACAATTTATAGTTTAGATACTATATTAAACTAATCAGTAATTAATTGTTTAAAGGATGTATTAGGAAGTGAACCTTATATTATATTTTTAATCTAAACATTTTATTAATTATATTAAAATTAAACCTAAAATATGTTCAAAAGCTTATTTATCACTTCATTAGAAACACAAAAATAATATATATTAATTTTTAATTTCTTAATAATTAATATTTGTTATTTAAGGTTAATTTCATGTAGTTTTTATATTGTATTTTAATTATAAGAACATTCTTAATTAACCAAAAAACTAACACTGAACCTTTTTTCATTCAACAGCTTTTCAAAGAATATAAAAGAAAATGGGTGCGGGTTTCTCTCCAGGTGTGGGTTTCTCGCCTCACTTTACTATTAAAAAAATATAAAATATAAAAATAGATTTGGTAACTTTTTTGATCAGGGCTGCAAACCGGATTTAACTGGTGGCTAGCCCGTCTTAATTTTTAAATATTTTCAGCCAGAATTTGTGTTTGGAACTATTATTATTAATTTGTTGAATAAAATAATTAGGATTTGTCAGCCAGTAGTGATAAAAAAATGGCTAGCCACAAAATCGTCCAAACTATACACATTCTAAAATGATGGTAAAAAATAAAACCATTTAAATAATGAGGAATAGAAAGTATAGTTTCATGTAGTTTTGAAAAGCCATAACAAATCTCCATGTTTTTTAATAGTTTTAAAACATGGTAAATTAAATTAATGGTAATAGTTTGTCGTTTGTGTCAAACAAAAAATACATAAGTAAATTATAGTAATAAATGATTATTTATTCAGAAAAGAAAAACACAGAAAACAAAAAGACAAAAAGACAAAAAGACAAAAAACAATATGTTATACCATTTTATATTTATGTTCTTAAAATTGTTAATTTCTGTATAATTGTAATGTATCACAACCATCTTTATTTCGAATAATATTTATAACATAAATATGAACATTTAATTGTTTGATGTGTTGTATTTTCATCAACAGACATTACTTGTTTTTATATAATAATAATTGGGATTATTGAAGTGTTTCAATTATATATTCTACAAAACGATGTACTACTGATAAAAGCAAGTGTATTGTTATTTGACATGTACACAAAATACATATTTAGATTATTTACCTGAATCTAACATGGTTTGAATTTAAAATATAGAATAAAATGAACAAAATATTCAACACTGACAATTTGTTTTAAATAATAATTGATAATATAATAACGTAACATTAAACACAACAACTCAATGATTATTTGATTGTTTTAGGATAAAGTTAATACAAACAACAAATTATAAATAATATGTATTTTTTTAAATGACATAATTTGTTTTTGTGAATCAAAACAAACTGTTAAATTTTGTCGAACTCGATCCAAAGTTGTTAACAACTTGTATTGAATTTTAAATAAAAATGATTATTGTTTTTTTTATTATCAAATGTGCTGTTTAGAACACAACGAAATTAACATAAAAATAAATATATATATATATATATGGTATTGTCTAACCTTGTAATGTCAATTTTTATTTTTTAATTATCATATAAAACAACAAACTGTCATATAAATTAATTTGTGTCAAGATTTTAAGTCATTTAATTCTATATTTTGGTTATAATAATGATGATATTTGAATTGAGAAACATATAAAAACTCTTTTTGTGTTTTATTTGATACACTGATTCGTGTTTAATAAATATAATGAAACAGTGATTACTTAGATATTTAAACAAGTTAAAGTATATATTATGTTTTAACACTATATGTTATGACAACATTTTTTTACTTAATTCCAATGACATTTTTTTTTATTATTTACTTATGCCTTATAACCGACACATGTTCCAAAAAGTTTTTTGTTTTATTTTTCTTTAGTTTTTGGTTTAAATATTTAAATTTTTCTTATTTGTTTTTTCTGGTTATTATTTGTTTTTCAAAACACTTTTGGTCTTATTATTTGAAGGATGGAATAAAGTGCAGTTTTGAGCAAATTATCCAAAAACATTCCCAAAACAGCATATTTTTTAATTTTTATGATTATTTTCATTAAATCGAGCAAAAAAATTCTTTTGTGAATAGGATTTTTTATTTTATCCAAAAAGATAAAATGCCATTATTTCTTTTTCAAAAAACGATTATTTAATTGAGGTTTGCAGCCCTGGTTTTTCTATAAAAAATATATAAATTAAATAAATTAATATTAATTAAATAATATTCCCGAACAAACGCACAAAACTACAGTTAGACAAGTTCGCCTTAAATGAAATAGTTTGAATTAAATGGTTCACTTTAATAGTTTAAAAACCATTAACAATAGTAAACAGTGGGTTAAACTAGAAAATTATTAAATGGTTAAATAGAATAATATTTAAACTAACATTTATATTAAAGTTTAATGTACAGTTGAATTTTAAAAATAAAACCAAAACATATTTTAAGTATTGTTTTGTATGTCTTAACATGTTTGTTTCGTTGAGTTTAAACATGTCAAAACATACACCGCTTTATTCAGATACGTTTGTTTCTAGACTGACTTTAACATTTTGTTGTTATAATATTTTATATCTCATATAATAATATATGAAATATATACGAACTCAAATACAAACAAATGATAATTATACATCAACAATTGAAACAAAACTTTAAGTTTTTATGCTATTTATTTTATTTAAAAAATGGACAAAAACACCAAATTTTTAGTGTTTTTGTTCATTTTCTAAATATTAAATATATAAACAATCTTTAATCACCACAAGTCAAAATAAAAGTTCTAAAACTCAAGCCTCAAAACTAAATAAAAATTGAATATAAAAACATGAAAGATTTATAAAAAATCATTCAAAAGAATGTTATTTTTTGGAGATATCTTTTCTAACCAAGCTTCTGATGATACTCGACTGACTTTCGACAAGGTCCACTTTAATCTTCAAGTTATTGGTGTTAGTGCCAAAGTGACAGTCAGTCATTATTTAACTAACAACTCCAATGCAGTTATCTCTCTTCTTGTACATTTTTCATACGACTCTACTTGTAGTATAACTGGATATTCTTTTAAAACCAAATCTAAAGAAATGGTTTCTTGTTTAAAAGAAAAAGAGAGTGCCAAACGTGCTATTGCTGATGCGAGGGCAAGTGGATATAACACCTCTTCTCTAGTACAAACAGATGAAACGTCGTTTGATCTTTCCCTTGATATATTAAATCCACAAGAGACAGTAGAACTCAAAATAGAATATATCACACAACTTTCGGTTGTCGCCGATGAACTCCTTTTTACTCTTCCGAAAAATTCTGAGCGGAGTAAATCGACTATTTTTGATGTCGAATATTTCACGAACAATCTTAAAAAAACTGTCAACAAAATTCACATAGAAAACCCTGATTTAAAGGCCTTTGGTTACTCGCTTGGAAAAGTCCAACACGGACTTTATGTGACTGAAGACGCCGAAACGGGAGAAAAGACGGGGAGTGCTGTCTTTGTGTCGAAAGAGTGTGACGGCCCTGTTGATGTGATTTTTGTATGTGATCGAAGTGGTTCGATGGACGGAGAAGGGATCACAGCACTCAAAGTTGCTCTTCAGCTCTTTCTACGACAACTTCCGGAGAACAGCACATTTGACGTTGTATCCTTTGGAAGTGATTTTAAAGAGCTTTTTGGGAAGTTAGAAGTATACGGAGAAAAGTCTTTTAAACTCGCAAGTGAGAAGGTGGCACAATTTGAAGCCGATTTTGGTGGGACAAATATTTTGAAGCCACTTTGTTGGGCAATGAAAAGAAAGTGTCAAGTCATCTTATTAACAGACGGACAAATTTCTGAAACTGAAGAAACCCAAATTTTGAATCTACTTGAAGAAGAAAAGGGGAAATCAATTGTCCACTGCATTGGACTCGGGTCGGACGTCGACGGGAATTTGATCAGAAAAATCGGGACTATTGGCGGCGGCGTTTTTGATATTGTCAGAAACACCGAAAACTTGACAAAAAGTCTTTCGGAGATCACCGCAAAAATTCTTCGCCCAACTATTTCTGAAGGGAAAATTAGTGTTGAAAATGGAGCAAATTATGAGGAAAAAGTGCCTCTTTTTGCGGGGAGTTTCCAGTGTTATTTTGATGTAAAAAATGATCAAAAGTGTATAGCCACTTTACATGGAAAAAACGGGAAGAAAGACGTAAAATTGATCGAAAAAGAAGTCAATCGAATAAAAGGGGAACTTCTTGGGCAAATGCGGGCTGCCGAAGAGATCAAAAAACTTGAAATGCAAAAAGAGAAAAATTTGTGTTTAAAAAAGTCCTTAAAATATAACATTTTGTCGCAGTACACGTCTTTCATAGTCATCGACAAAAGTACTAAAACCGAAATAGAAAACGTCAAGAAAATAGAAATAGGAAGACCAAATTATTGGGGAGAAATTGAGTCGGATTCAGAAGAGTTGGGCGGATTTGGAGATCTTGGGATTGACAGCTATGGCCAAGATATAAAGAAAGAAGAAGAACAAGAAGATGATTGTTGTATTGATGAGATGTTCTGTGATGCTGAGCCAGAGTATGTCTTGCCCCAACAAGACACAAAACTATTTGAAGGATTCTCTTTTGTTGCAGAAGAAAAAGAGAAAGAAGATGTTGGAAGCGAAAAGCAGTGCAAAGAAGAACAAATCGAGTCTTTAGAGAAGATAGAAAGTACTCAAAATATGGTAACTGATAAATTCCAAGCACTCGTGTGTAAACAAAACTTCGACGGAAGCTTTGAGGAATTTTCAGAACTCTTCGACTTTGTTAAGAAAATTTATAACAAATTCAATAACATCGAAAAGAAGTGTTTGGCAACTGCTTTGGCTGTGGCTGTGCTTAGAAAGTTTTTCTTTGAAAGAATTGTTGAATGGAAATTACTTGAAAAGAAGGCTTTGAATTATTTGGAGAAGCACAATATAGAAGAACAATTCATTCAACAAATCACAGCTGATATTTAATTTTTCGTTTTGGTTTTATTTGGAGTGTGTTTTTTTGTGTATTTTGGTCATAGTAATTTATCACTATAAATCATTTTATTGAGATATTACAATTATTAGATACAAAGATCTAAATCATGTATTTAGAAATATTGATATCAATTGATACATAACATCAACTAAAATAACAATTTATTTGTTGTTTTGACAGAGAAATTGGGATATTAGTTTTAATTTATTGTTATACAATTTATTGTGATTAGAATTTTGACTTAGTATTTTATTGCTCTTTATTCAAAAAATCCAAGTGTAATCAATATTGTTTTATGGGCAACCATTTATTATCAAAAATACATAAATAATAACTAACGATATGTTGCGTATTACAAACAAAATTTTATTTTTGTTTGTTTGTATTATGATTTTATTTATTTAGATAATTATGATAATTAGTATAATACAAATTATATTTATTGACAAAATATATTACTTAGTTGTTGTATTACTGTTGTAGTTTTAGTTATTTATCACATGTTTCAATAGTATTAATAAAGACAAATAATTATAAAAAAATGGTTAAAACCAATTTATTTAAAAAGAGTAAGTGTAGTTTTTTGTGTATTTTATTGAAATGTTATTTTAAATAATTCAAAAATGTTACTTCACACACAATGACAAAATATAATATATATAATAATATATTGTAAAGTATTATATTTTATATACTAAAATTTAAAAAAACAAAAATCGATAATTCCATGTTTTAATAATATTTTTTCAAATATGATAATGATATTATACATAGCAAATCAAACAGTTCATTAACTCAAAATTTGTAACCCAAATGTTCGAAAACTGTGTGCAGTTATTATTAACCAGAATCAATATATAATTTATTAATATTATTTAAAACTTGAATTATCAAATAAAAATTACACATTAACAATGATATTCTTCCAAATATTGACTTTTATGTTTATAATTTCATGTTATAATGCGTCGACTAAATGCGAAGTGACTTGTGCATCATCAACATTAACAAGTAGTGACATTTCATCAGTGGTATCTACATGTCAAGATTACATAGTCAATGCTAGATGTTATGTAATATATAACCGACTGTTTTATTATAACAAAGTAATAAAGTCCATCACATTTAGAAGTACCTATCCTGTTACTTTGTCGAGTGAGTCTTTTTATTTTTCGACAGTTGAGAGTGTCGTTTCTCCTTATGGATATAATTCAATAGGTGCCAGTTGCTTTGCAAACTCGAATCTTCGCACAATCAATGTGAGAGGCATAGGAGCATTGGATTCTGAAGTCTTTTATTCAACAATACAATTGGTGAGTATAATAATGGCAGATGTTGGTTCAATAAAATATAAGGCTATTTCATATTCTTCAGTCTCCCAATTCATTTTTGGAACTAAAACAATTGATGTTGGGGAACTAGGCTTTTATGGCGACAGCAACATAAAAAGACTCTTTTTCCCAAATGGACTTTCTAGTGTTTCTAGAGGTTCATTTGGCTATATGGGGTCTTTAACTGACATAAATTTAAACGGGTTAAAAACATTGCCAACTTATTTATTTGAAAGTGACACATCATTAGTGAATATAACTGGTATGGAAGACATAGAACAACTTGATTTTGCTGCATTCAAAAATATGGGGGCGTCGAAATTTGACACTCTTTCCATTGGTAGGGGAAAGGGACATTTCACCTAAAGACATTTCACCAAATTCTTTCCAAAACTTTCTTTTTTGTATTTTATCAATAAAATTTAAAAATATAAAACGAGAGTTAGTATTTGGTCATATTGTTTCAAAAAATTACACATTTTTATTTTTTTGTTCTGTCAGTTTTAACACTAACAATTTCAAACCAACTTATTTGACACTACATAAATTAAATTACCCAAAAATACAAAATTTAAAACAAGCTATTTCAAAACTAATTATTCAAACGAATATATATTTTCATTTAATGAACACATAAGACTTTAAAAAGAAAATATTTTTTTTATTACAAATTAATTATATTGTTACAATGATAAATATGGATATAAATAATAATTATTCACATAATTGCAATAAATAATATAGTTAATTTAATATCTATTTTTAATCATATTTATAAAAATATTAAATCAATAAGAGTTGGTCGGAAAATGTTGTCCCGTCGCCAAAGTTGTCCTGGGCTTTTTGGTCAATGAAAATTGGATAATATCGGGATCATGTTCGAAATATAAAAAACTTCGTTTCAGTTTTTTCCCAAATTTTTCAACTTTTACCTTATTCCCGGGGTTTTAAACAAATATTTGTGTATAAATTGATAAAAAGGACAACGTTGGCGACTGGGACATCGTTTTACAACAAACTCTATCACAATTTTTAATGTAAAACCAAATTCAATTATAAAAACTAATATTCAAATTGAAATCAAAGTCGGTTCATAAAAAATCTTATGAATAATATTTGAATATAACAAAGTTTATATTATCAATTTTATTTTATTTTAATATTTTATTTAATAAATTAAACTGTTTTTTTCAAAAAAGTTTATCACATTAAATACTTGATATTTAAATAATAATTAAATAACAACTTTTGTATAAAGATGATTTAACAATTTTTAAATTATACAATTATATTGTTTACAAACAAGTTAAGGTTAAATGCATCAAACGAATATTATATTTAATGTTTGATTATCACGTAATATGATACTTATTCTATTTGCATTTTATAAGCTATATTTTAAAAATCAATTAAAAACATGATTTATATTTTTTTAATATTATTATTATTGCTTATCTTAAAATATTTACAATGTTTTAAGATATTCATTTTTAAAATTGGAACTTCAATGTTTTGAGATCAATAATGTTATTTTGAACAATTAAAAACTTCAGAAAGCTTTTAAACAATTAAATGAAATATTATATTTATCAATATATATTATAATAATTAATTACAGTCAAATATGCCAATTTGTTAAAAATGTGTGAATAGAAAGTTTGTTTAATATTAAAAGTTTGTTCCAAGAAATAAATACCCGTTTTAATCAAACATAAATTTTAGATTCAAATACAAGATACTAAATTGTTTTATATCTTAATTATTAGTTGGTTTCAAATAAAAAACAAGTTCAAAAAACAATTTTACAATATAAAAAACTCTTCAAACTGTTTTTATTTATTCAATAATCAATAAAAAACAAACAAATAATTTTGTTTGTATATAAAGAATCTATATTAATTATGTTTCAATTTAAATGTTATTATATTAAACAGTTATTATAAACACGAACATATATCAATACTCATTTAAGTTGCGATTTTCTTTAAATTCTCTGTCAATTTTTTGAATCAAAGAAAGACGCCGTTTTCTTTTTTTTTAACACTTGTTGTAATATGTTTATCACATTTAAATATATCATTTTGTTCTTCAATTTCCATTGCAACACCTTGAACACAACTCGAATAATGATCTGTCATTTCTTCTGATATATGATAACACGTTTCTTCTTCGTGTATTTCTAGCATCATTTCATCATTGTCCGATTTTTCTTCGTTTTCTGGAAAATCAAAAAATACTTCCATATTAAGTTTGTCAGTTGCTTGTATCGTCTTTTTTAAAAATTCTTCCAAGTTAAGTTCTTCACAATAATAGTTGATAGTCAAATTTTTCGACAATTCGTTTACTTCATCTTGCTTTCTGTTTTTTGGTTTAAAGTATCCATTTAAAGCTTTGTGATAATTCTTTTTGGTTTCATCAATAACGCCTTCAATTGTCTCAACAAACTTCCAAAATGAAGGGTTGGATAAAACTAATAATCTCGAAAGTGTTGAATGATAAACTTCACAATCATTGTTGGTTCTCTTCTCTCTCATATATTGACACCAAAGTTCAATCGGATATAGTCCATACACCCACACTCTTTTAAAATATTCAAAAACCTTATTAAAATCAATTGTGTGGACGTAGAGTGCACCAACGAAATTTACAGCAAATTCAATATCACAAGGTTTTATGTAACAAACGGCTTCTAACATCTTAATTAATTATCTGAAATCTCCATCATTCCAATATTTTTCTTTCAACCCCAACGTATTTATATACTTGTTTATTGCTTGACGTTGGTGAAACATACAACCATGGTGTTTAACTTTTTTAAATTCTTTTAAAACAGAAATAAGAGAATTTTCAAAATCGGTTATTATATCAATATCTCGTTCGAAACAAGTTGCATTGCAATTCTGTTCTTTTATTAATTTTTCAATTGCTGTGACAAGTTGTTTATAGATAATTATTGTTTTTTTCTTCATCAAACAATGCAAAATGGGATATATTTGGCCATTTTTTAATTGGCAGTGAATTGTATATAATTGATAAAATTGACGGGGACAACTTTGAAAAGTACCATCCATCATAACAGATGTGCACCTAGCAAGCATCATTAATTGTTCTGTATCCCCAAAGATGAAGATGTTTGAGTCATCACTTTTAAAAAAAGTTTTGATTCACCTACAGATAAATCAATTTCTTCACATGTTTTCGGTTCTTTTTTGTTGGTAAGTTTCGTTGAACATATTTTTCCAATGTTTCAGACTTCATACCTATTGAACTACGAGTATATTTTCTTATAAGAATTCTTCTTGGAGTTGATTTAGCTTTATTAGTTTTGAGATCTTTTCTTATAAAATTTATATAATTCTTTTTTAATAAATTTTGTTTTTCGTGTTTATGAACGTTATTTCTGCCATACAAAAAGGTACCATCTTTTTGTTTGTTAATAGTAACTCGACAACCTTTAACAGAACATCTAAAATTCATTCTCCTTTTATTTATTGGGTGAAATAAATATCCATCAACAACAGGTAACTCCTTATCTCTTTGACTATTGATACTCATCGTACTACACATAAATACAATATAATTAAAAATTATTTATAGTCATAATTAAAGTCACAAAAATAATTAACAATTCAATTACATTTTAATAAAAAGTGACATAAAATTGTAATTTATTTAATTTAATTGTGTTTCAATTTTTATAATTATTATGGATTTTTATGTGTTTTTATTTGTGATAATAATTATATAAAAACGTGAGTAAATTAAAATTGTTATGATTTTAATTAAGTGTAAATAACAATATATATTTAATTATTTTTATATATTTAAATACTTTATGAAGATGGTTGTGATTATTCGTTTGAATAATTAGTTTTGAAATAGCTTGTTTTAAATTTTGTATTTTTGGGTAATTTAATTTATGTAGTGTCAAATAAGTTGGTTTGAAATTGTTAGTGTTAAAACTGACAGAACAAAAAAATAAAAATGTGTAATTTTTTGAAACAATATGACCAAATACTAACTCTCGTTTTATATTTTTAAATTTTATTGATAAAATACAAAAAAGAAAGTTTTGGAAAGAATTTGGTGAAATGTCTTTAGGTGAAATGTTCCCTAATCCATTGGTAGTAATATGTGGGAAATAACGAACACTATAGACGTCGATGAAAGTTATGGAATTGAAAATATATATGCATATAATTTGCGAAGAGATTGTTTAGGGGATAAATATGTGAAGAATTATTATTATAAAGAATCGGGATCAAGAACTAATTGTCTCATTACCTATACAATAACAGAAAATTGTATGCCATATAATTACAATTTTCAAAATCGTTGCTACTATAGCGGACCATTTGAAATGAATGAAATGGGCGTTTCAACTATGTGTACACCAAGGTGTAGACATCAAGTCAACAATTGTGAAGTATGTGACAGTGAGACAACGTGTCAAAAGTGTATAGATGGTTATATATTAATAGATGGACAGTGTCAGACATGTCAGTACTATGGAGAGTGCTACCAATGTGATATTTATAAATGCACTGCATGTAGTGCAAATTACAAATATCGTTCTGAACTCTCACGCTGTGACTTTTGTGAAACAGAGTTGGGGTATTATTTTAGTGGTAACGACTGTTATAAATGCAATTCGATATGCAAGTTATGTACAAGCGCTTCAATTTGTACTGAGTGTATAGACGGTTATTATTTAAAAGATTCAAAGTGTTTGCCATGCACATTAACTGGCTGTTCAAAATGTTTAGAAACGGAGTGTTTAACATGTAAAACGGGGTTTTATTTAAACAACGAAAAGTTGTGCAGTCCATGCTCGGACTATGGGAAGTGCAATCAATGTACAATAGACGGATGTACTTTATGTGCCAATAAGATGTATTACAACACAACTACGAAATTGTGTGAGAGTTGTGTTGAAGAATGTGATGTTTGTGAGAACTCGTATTCATGTAATAAGTGCAACAATGCCTCTATCTATTACAAAGAAGATGAAATAAAGTGTGCGACTTGTCCAGTTAATAACAAATATTTTGTCAAAGGATTAAATTGCAAAAATTGAATTGAAAATTGTTTGAGAATTGCGACTTTTGCAATTCCAAAGACAGCTGTTTGGTCTGTACTTCAGGCTACAAGTATAATGAGTCGTCACAGAGTTGTGTCATTTGTTCCAGTGGAAATTATGTACACCAAGAGTATTGTAGACCATGCCCGAGTGAATGTACTACATGTGGTTCTGCTACCCAATGCACAAGTTGTGTTGATGGATATTTTGTCAACACTGAAAATAATTGCGTAAGTTGTCTTACAAGAAATTGCATTTCATGTGACTTGGATGTGTGTACATCATGTATGATAGGATATTATCTCAACAATGGTGTTTGTGAAGAGTGCTCAACTATTGATGATAAGTGCACAATATGTAATATAGTTAATAACTCAAATACTTGCGATTCGTGTGAAAATGGGTATTGGATCGACAACAACAAGTGTGTGACATGTGAAGGGTGTGGTTCGCTTGGGTGTGAGTACATGAGTGGGTTATGTTATAATTGCCCAAATTTAAATCAAGTTTTGATGTTGGGGAAATGTGTGATTGTTGAAGGATGCAAAATTGTAGAAAACAATGAATGTGTTGTTTGTGACGATTTGTATGTCAAAATAGGGAGAAGGTGTATTAAGAAGCAAACGGAGACAACAAAAGATGTTATCATATTTAGAGATTTCTATGTCAGTTCTATTGACGTCAATTGCACCACTTTTACAACCAAAGGATGTGAGATTTGTGATGTAGGGTATTACCACTACGAAAGTGTGTGTCTGAGATGTGAAGAAATCTATGACAATTGCGAAAAATGTAGTGTTATCACTT